TATATATAACCTCGGTTTTACAAGTCAGCCCAACAGATCTTACAGTTTGTTTGACATAACAGCCTTCATAAGCAGTTCCAATGATCACAGAGCCATCTGGTTTCTGGGTGACCCAAAGGCTGCAGGAAACGTCAGTTCGCAAGACGTTCATTTTTCCATGTTTATCTGAAAAATAAAATAAAATAAAATATTCAAGCTATTGGATACAGAATGTTTTTCATACAAAACTTGTTTTCATACCCATCATAATTTTCCACCACAGTGGCATAAGAATTTAACATAATGGAAAGTAAATTAACAGAAGAATTCAAAGCAAAGCTTGGCATGACCACCCTTTGCCTTTAAAACATAAATCAATTCTTCTAGGTACACTTGGCACACAGTTTTTGAAGGTAGGTTGTTCCAAACATCTTGGAAAACTAAGCACAGATCTTCTGTGGATGTCGGCTGCCTCAAACCCTTCCGTCTCTTCATGTAATCCCAGACAGACACGATGATGTTGAGATCAGGGCTTTGTGGGAACCAAACCAGGGGTGTTACTAGAAATCACAGGGCCCCATAGCAAAATTTTATATGGGGCCCTGTGATTTCTAGTTATGCCATTGCAGAGCCCACCTGATACCCCAAACAGCCCACCTGAGAGTGACCCTGCAGACCCCAACATAGACTCTCTGTACACCTCTAACAATTTTTCTTCTGTTCACTCACTATTTGTTTTGATCAATTTACAAAATGCAAATCTACAGAGACATGTTTGAAAGGATTCTTGCTTTCCATCATTTTTCCCCACACCTGCCAAAAAACTTTTGCACAGTACTGTATATCTTCTGCTTTTTGGATTGGGGGGAAAGAATGTATTCTTCAGCAAATATAAAAGGAGGGGGATGCTGTTCACTTCTTGTGGTTTGTTGGATTAAGGTTTTTGTATAGGTTTTGGTTGTTATGCAATGCTATATTTCCAACAGTTAGACTTTACTTTCTTTTGTATCTGTGTTCTAACTATATAAAAATGTTCAAAAATCTATGAAAATTGTCAGGAGTAGGAAGGGCCTAGTTACACTTTTACATAATCTCCTATAGCTAAAACGTCACTGGCTCTATGTTGCACGATGGGAGATTGAAATACATGTGTACTTTGGCTTCTGTTTCTCCAGTATAATAAAAAAAATAAAAAAAAAATGAAGAGGTGCCGGCAACAGCAAGAACATTGAGTGTTTGCTAGCCCTCTGATCCGGGTCTTGTTTTATTGAAGTCAGCTTGATGGTCATAAATCCCCCACTGTGCTGAAGGCCCTCTCTAACATAACCACAGCATGGCAGGCTAGTGCTTGGAGCACATATTGGGCTAGCACCAGCCAGTTGCACATCCTGGACACCCAGTAGCCCAGGTATGACCGTTTTAAAGGAATTTTAGTGTCCCTTCCCGTTTGCTTGCACAAAACCAGGATGGCCTTACAAGGAGGAAAAAATTAAATGGGACTCCCCAGGCCATGGACTAGATGAAGGGGGTTGCTTTCCCCAGCTCGTATGGAAGCAGTTTCAGTACCAAGCTAACATACAGGCACTGGGCATTGGAGGGGGGGGGGTAGGGGGGGGAC